CACCATTTTGTTGAGGGGTGTATGGACAAGTAGTCTGGTGAATAATGCCTTGGTGAGTCATAAACTCCTGAAATTGGGAGGATAAGTATTCTAAGGCATTATCACTACGAAAAGTACGAATAGAAACACCAAACTGATTTTGTATTTCAGCAAAGAAACTTTTGAAAATAGAAAATAACTCAGAACGATCTTTCATTAAGAAAACCCAAGTACATTTTGAATAATCATCAATGAAACTAACAAAATAACGAAATCCTAAGGTGGAACTGACTCTACTAGGACCCCAAATATCAGAATGAACTAATGAAAAAATAGACTCTGAACGACCCTCAGTACTACGAGAAAACGTAGCACGAGTGTGTTTCCCAAGTTGACACGACTCACAATCTAATGTGGATAAACTAGACAAACTAGGCACCATCTTTTGCAGTTTGGATAGACTCGGATGTCCCAAACGTTTGTGAATTAGATCTGGGGAATCTGTAACGGAGCATGCTGCTAAGGAATTTGAAGAGGTAAGATAGTAAAGGCCTTGTGATTCATGTCCTGTTCCAATCATCTGTCTCGTACTGCGGTCCTGCATGAGAAAAAAATCATCGAAAAAAGTTATGCTACAATGTAGGGCTTTCGTCAAACGACTAACAGATGCTAGATTAAAAGGAGAACCAGGGACATAAAGAACAGAGTCTAGGGTGACAGAAGATAGGGGTTTGGCTTTTCCAACCCCTTTTGGTTTTGTTTGGATCCCATTGGCTAAAGTAATAGCTGGAAGAGATTGTGAATAAACAATATCGGATAAAAGTGATTTATTACCAGAGATATGATCAGAAGCCCCAGAGTCCATGACCCATGTTCCAAGAGTACTAGATTGCGACACACAAGCAAAAGAATTACCCGCAACAGAGACATCAGGTTGTGCAACCGAAACTACTTGTGGAGACGTTTGCTTATTTGCACGATACTGAAGGAACTCATCATATTCTGTCTGGGCAATATGAGCATTATTGGATGGTTGATTAGGTTGAGCACCATATGCTACTGGTGGAGATGTTTGTTTACTTGCGCGATTTCGAAGGAACTCATTATATTCCTTTAGAACAATAGGATCATAACTGGGTGGTGGACCATGCAAACTATAACATATATCACGAGTGTGTCCAGGCTTATGACAATGACTACACTTGGATCGAGGTTTCCCAAAACGCCCTCCCCCTCGCCGATTCTCCATAGATTGATATGTACGCTTTTCAAAGGTTTGAGATGCGAGAATAGATGAGTCAACAGTGGGTGATGAAACTACCTTGTGACTGGGAGGTGCCGCAAGACGAAGGAGACGAGAGAATAATTCATCGATTGTAGGAACTGTAGGGCTAGCTAAAATCTGATCACGTACAGAATCATGATCAGGAGGAAGTCCAGCAAGAGTATGAACTAGAAACAATGTTTGTCTGTGTTCTTGTTGTTTTTCCACGTTCGTAGTAACTGGCATTAATGTGTCAAATTCCTCCATGACTGCTTGTACCTGTCCCAAGTAAGTAGACATATCGGATTCTTGTTTCTTTAAGTTGGTCAATCGAGATATCACATCATAGAATCGAGATATGTCATTAGTGTATAAAGCACGAGCCTTTTCCCAAACTGTATAACACGTCTGGAATGGGCGAAACAAGGGCATCAACTTGGAATCAATAGAACGCCATAGGAGACTACATAATTGAGCATCTACTTTCTCCCATTGTGCTTTGGCTTTTGCATCTTCCTCACTAGTCTTTGCCTTTACATCTACCACATAAGCCTTGTTCGTTAAGTGATCTTGGACACCTTGACCCTTGCACCAAAGCTCAACCGAGGAAGCCCAAGATAAATAGTTTGAACTTCCCAATAAAAGTTCTGAAGTGATTATAGGGCTAGAACTTCCAATCCCCATATTTTTGGAACCAAAAACATCACACCCAAAAGACATTATGCTAAATTTGTCTCGGAAAATTCAAATCTTGAAGAAAAGTCGCCGGAAACTGCCTGGAAATAGCCGGAACCCTAATTCCGGCGATCGGATCTGGTCAAAAATAGTATGGGCCTGGTCGGAATGGCTGGACGACCCCAACTGTCAAAAAAAAGCTCAAAAAATATGCACAGAAAAGCCCTCACGCGCCGGCGCGTGAGACAGATCTCGCCGGAAACTACCACCTCCGATCGGCGCGTGAGAGCGCGTGGGGTGGTGTTTTCCGGTGGTTTTGGCTGGGGTTTGGTCGCGGGGGCTTTCCGAGCCTCGTGGTGGTGTTGGTTTTCGCACAACACCAACAGAAAGAAAAAAGAATAACAAAATCAGACCCAACAGTCACCGGTAATTGACATAGACATACGGTGACTTGTTTGTTCTCACCAATGCTCTGATACCATGTGAGAAATATATACGAAAAATATTATTGAATTGTGTATCTAAATAGTTACATTGAGACCCTATTTATAGACACTACATTGGAATCCTTTTCCAACTAGGATTCCTATTCTTATTCCTATTCCTATTCCTATTCTTATTTCTATTCTAAGTAGGAAATACTTATTTCTATTCTAACAAATATGATCAAAGATAAATCTAAAATGCCCTGGAAATTGTGGGATACTATTATGGAGACTAGAAGAATTACTTTACAGGCCAATGCGATAGTTCGACATTGCTTCAGAAAGTCAAATCAAGTGGTGGACGCACTACCTAAATACTGTTTATATAACAAGGACATCTTATTTTTTATCCTAAAGATTTGCCAAAGGATGCAGCTGGCCTATACACCCTTGATGAGATTGGGATGCCCTCCATAAGACAGGCAAAGAAAGAATATATTTTGAGTCACTAGCTATGATCTGTCTTTCTTTAGTTTTTGCTGTACATGACCTGTTTTCAAGGTTGTATATTAATGCTTATTTCCGGAGGTTTAGGCTATCGTCCCCCTATGCTTGTTCTCTGTATAGATCTTGGATGAAATAAAAGGTTTGCGCCACCGAAGGCATAAAATTTACATTAAAAAAAAAAAAAAAATCTGACTGATTCGCAGTGGTGTCATGGTCAAGTCAGTCTCCATTACAAGCCCAGTCAATCTTATTTTCTGCTACACTTTACAAATATGATTTGCAAACTTGAGTTGTTTCACCACCTTGTGTTTGTGGGGTTTGTTGAAGTGCAGAGGATCATTAAGTATATTGTAGACTATTCTTGATGATAATAACATTATCAAATGTCGAGAATCATGAAGAGTATGTGCTGAATTATTATGATTAGGTCATGATACTAGTGATCTTAAGAATTAGAAAACTTTCTTATAGGAGCTATCTAGATTCGTCACTAATTCAAAGAGTTTCTCTCTTTAATTTGTCCTTTTTGCTTACTCGTCAAATCTTGGTGAGACTCTTTTATGCATTGATCAGAAAAGAGAAGTGTTAATTGTGTTGATTAATTAGCATGATTTTTGGAGTTTCTATTATTTTTTGGATTGAATAGAATATTTTATTTTGTTGTAGTTGATTGTTTTTCCGTAATTAGTTGAGATTCACGTGTACAAATACACCTTCTTATGGGATGTAAATACATGGTATTAGAGTCATTGTTGCCTTCTGTGGTGAGTTTTTTCTCCCTCACAGCACTAGGATTCCTTCCTTTCAATAAAGAGGTCGAGTTTTCTCCTTCCTTGATGTTGTCAGCAACTAAAGCTCTGTTTATGTCCGTGTTTTTGAAAAATCTAATACCACCACAGTTTTGCCAATCAATTTCGAGTCTACCCTCTAAATTTCAGATATTTCCAATCGTCGGAGATAGGGTTTCCAATGATTCCTTTTGGATATTAAAAATAGTCTTCTTTTGATTATTTATGTGACAATGATCGATTTGAAGTACTAAATCCCTTCATTCAACTGCAAAATATCCTACAACCGATCAAAGTAGTGAAGAAATTGAAATATGTCTTACGATTAATTAATCAATAAATTCCTTAGGGAATCAAAAATCAAATAAACACATGAGAAAAGGTGAATAAATCACTAATTAAACCTTAAGGTTCATCAAAACTCAACTACAACAGAGTTACTCCATACATGGAGATAGGTAACTGTGACTATAATAAAGATCAGCAAGTTCATGATCCAAGAGAATAAAAGAGAAGATAAATTGAAGTCAAGAAGAAACTCCCAACAAATCTTCATTCTCTCATGAAACGTTGGAATCTTCCGCTTCCTTTCTGTATTTGTTCCTCCAATAGCTGCATCTGTCATGGTGTCTGCCCTTGCAAGTCTCCAAAAAATTCTCTATATATACGTCATTCAGCCCTAATAACCTAAATTCTAAGAACTATTGCATTCAGGTCGCATTGTCACAGTGGTCAATACTCAAGCACTACGATGGTTGGGCTGTTTAATGTGTCCTACAAGTGCTGAAGGAGTGTTGCAGCGCCCAAAGTTCCAGTGCTGCGATGGCCGGGGCTGTTTAGTGCACAACAATTCTTCAACAAGTTTTTTCTTCATTTCTTGCATCTGTTTTGCTTGAATCTTGTTTGTTTCCTCCTTAACTCCATTGCATATTTATCATCAAAACAACACAAGTATGTGAGGAATAACATCATATAACAATTTAAACCTAATAATTCAAAACATGCGAAGACATAAATACACATATAATTGTGGTTCATCAACAAGGAACTCAAATGATTTTATTATTTCCCCCCTTCAGTTGAATGTTTAAATATCATACATTTTGAGTTTTTATGTTCCTCTCCTTGGTCAATTTTTTTCGTAAAAAATGGGTTAGTTGGAAATTTATCTTTGTTTATAGGTAGGATTATTCTTGTTCAGCTTTGGATTGAATATCTATCTGGGTGCTATCACCAACTTTTCTTTTCTTCTTATACCTTATGGTGGTGGTAGGTGTCTGTGTTTGACATCAAGTCCTGCTGTGGTTTAATAAAGTACTTCAAAATGTCCTGACTAGAAAGATTGTAAACAAACATGTGCAGGTGGAATCATTGACTAATCAAGAAGAAGTGGAGTTGCGCAGTAAGATCCAAGCACTAGGACTGGAAGTTACAAAAGTTCCTTCAAAATCAACACAAAATCTTGACGAGGTAGGTTGGTATTTATTTTGGTTCGAAAGAACCGTATTTTCATTCTTTCCTCTTTTTTTTCCCTGGTAAACATAATTTATTCATTTTCAAATGTATATTAGATGGAGATTGCGAAGCAGATGGATAAATTATCAGAAAAGCTGGATGACGTGGATAGGATGATATCCTCCGCTGTTGCTGCGGATCCACAAGTTGGGTCTCTCTTAAGCAGTACTGCTGATCTTTGGATGCCAGTTATTACAGCTGGTTCTGAGGAAAGGTGTAACCTTAATGCGTCAGTTGAAGATGATGTTGAAGTGAAAGGCAAAAACTCTCAGTAGCTTTTAGTTAAAATCATCGTCATATGTTGATTTTGATTCTTTAATAAACGGTAAACAGATTCCTTCTATCATCAATTACAAATCATAGCCAGAGGGTTTATGTAGGTATCCTCAAGTTGAAATCACATTTACATCTTCTGATGACAAAGATGATACTTCAATTTGTTAAGAGATGTTCTGTAAGTCATTTCTAGATCTTGAAAAGGCAAATAGGACTTGGTGATGCTTGAACATATTTCTGTAAGAATACTTGGAGACCTTCCTCTCTGGTGTAAAATAACTATACATGATATGTTTACTTTTTAGCTGTGAATGAACAGTGCGTTGAACATTTTGTGTATTGATGTTGTCTCACTATTATGTTTAATACTAGACACAAGTGCACGGATCCAATATTTTGTTAATTTTGTCTCAATTTATGTGATATAGAAAGAATTTAGAGTCACTTACATTTTAATATGAATTTTTTATATTTTAAATTGTTAATTATTGTGATTTATATACATTTTTTATTTTTAAAAAAAATAGATGTTAGTCTCTTATCTCAATTTATATTACACTGATAAAATTTTGAGAATCACCAAAAAAATTTGTCTTTTAATTTTCAATTTTTTAATTATTGTGATCTATATTACTTTTACATCATTTTAAAACAATATATGTGACTCATCTATCCCTATTTATGTGGCACTGAATTGAGGGTCAATTGAATTTTTTATGTCTTTTAAATATTTCAAGTTATTAATTATTATGATTTTTACTACTATTAATGTAATTTTAAAATATTATATGGTACTCCATTTGTTCCAATTTATGTAGCACAAATGAAGTTTCAAGAGTCAATCATTTTCTTTTAAATATTTGAAAATTTTTAAATTGCTAATTATTGAGATTTACAATACATTTTATGTAGTTTCCAAATGACACATTTTACTTCTTTTGTCCAATTTTACGTGGCACTGATAGATTAATTTCAAATGTTAATTATTATTATTTTTTGTATGAAAAGGATTTTCATATATATATAATAATATACTAGTCGTCCAGGAGTATTGAGCATCGACCGCGGTGGCATATGTACATTTAGTTATAGTTTGGCCACACCCTAGTCCTAGGAAATATTAAGATCTTTCTAACATAATTAGTTCCTAAAGTGCCGGCTTCCATCTCCTTTTTTACAAACACCGGAGGAACAGTTGGTTCATAAAAAACGGCCTTCTTGGCTATTACATCTGCCACTCTGTTTTGTTCTCTACACATATGAAATAGTCTTTTTATTTCCAGCTTCTTTATTAAATATATGTACTCAACAAACAGATTATCATAGAGCAAATTGTTATGATTTATTATGCATACTACTACTTCAATTGAGTCGATATTGATTTCAAGAGGTTTAAGCTTATGTTTTATTATTGCTAATAAGAGCCCTCTTCTCAGTGTTTGGTGGGGTTGGTGAAGCCTAGAACCTAGCCCCATGTGGTTTCTAAAGTCCGTCTGATCCAGATTATTTGTTTGTCACAAAGCCATATATATTGAGCTTGAAGTTTCTCATATCAGGTGGTTCCCATTTGACATGAATGGTTGTTTTAGGGTCTTTAGCTTCTGTAATATTAGTTTTCAACAGTGGCCTGATCTGGGAGTATGTTGGGTGGTAATGGTCTATTTAAGGCATTTGTGCATTGGAAGAAGATGTGATCTATGTCTTCTTTGGCATTTCGGAATAACATTCATACCCTTATTGTGGAAGGAATAGTTTGTTAGAATTCTACAATAGTATAGGAGCCATATGAATGTTAATTAGGGGCCTTAATTGACCAGATCCAACTGAATCTTTTGTAGGTTTCTTATTGATTTTTTTGAAGGCTTTCATTGATGTTACTGTAGGATGAACCAATTGAGAATAGGCCATTACTAGTTACAAGAATGTTCTCTTTATTCTCACCAGGTGGGAAGGAGTAGTTGGTAATGATGTTTTTGAGGTTTTAAAGGAGGGAGAAGGAGAGTTTTCCAAAGTCCCATTCTTCATTTTCATGAATGTCTCTTATCTTAAGGTGTTCCTCCTCTCTCAAGATGGGTCCCTGGATACTCTGTCGAATAGCATTTGAGTGTGGTATCCAATGAAGTTGACTTTATCTCTCTTATGAACTATCCATCTAGCTAGTAGCATCAACACATTCTGCCCATCCCTTTTGGATGTTGTTCCAGGTTCTGGACACAGTTTTACTAGATTTGTTGTTAGTATTGGGCATGTGGTACTTGTAAATCAGTACTTTTCTCCAGAGCTTATGGGATTTCGATAATTCTCCATGCAGTCTAGCTAGGATGGCTCTATTCTTGATTTCACTCTTTTGGAGCCCTAGGACAACATTCTCTTTCTTGCTAGTAATGGTATCCCAATTGATTAGATGAAGCTTTCTTTTATCTATTGTTGTCCTGTTTAGATTTTATTTATGTTGTCAGTTATTTTCGTAGGGAGCCTGGTGTATTGCATCACATCTTAGGGGATACTGCTCAGTGTGGACTTTGGGAGCACATTCCTACCAGTCATGTTGAGGAATATGACTTTCCATCCGGCAAGTCTTTCTCATGTTATCAATCAAGAATTGGAAGTTGATAAGTTAGAGATTTTAGACTCAATTGAGGCTTTTAGTTCACCAAATAGTGTCCTCAATGCCTTTTATGTCCATTTCTGATATAAATTTGTTGAATTGCAGCTATGAAGGATAAAAGACAAGTCAAAGACAAAAGAATTAAAAGAGAACCCTTCGGGGTGGCCCAGTGGTTTGAGCTTGGGACTTCCATGTTGGAGGTCTCAAGTTCGAAACCCCTTGCCAGCGAAAGCAAGGGGTTTGCCTTCTGGGTCGAGCTCGTCGCACCAGGCTTGCCTAGTGCGGGTTACCTCTCCTATGTGGTTTGCGAGCTATTGCATAAGAGCGGGGGTTTTACCCTGTGCGCACCAAAAGGGTAGCGGATGCGGGTTTCCCTTGTCATCAAAAAAAAAAAAAAAAAGAATTAAAAGAGAACCCAAAAACTTAAAAAAAACAAAGAACAAAGGCAAAGTTAAAGCTCGCCAAGTGCAAAGGGCAACTCGCCAAACAAGCTGGAGCTCACTAAAAATGTCAAAGCAGATCGACAAGGAAATTATTCTAATGACGACTCACCAACAATGTCGGTGAGCCTTGGTGTCTTCGCCGAATTCATCTGAGAGTTCTGCTACAAATAAAAGTCAATTTAGCGAGTAGTTATTGAAGTGGCGACTCACTGAATAGTAATGTAGAACTCAATCGAGCTCACCAAAGGTGTTCAACACATGAAGCCTTGAAGCGAAGCTGAAAGGCGAGAAGAAGTGATAGTTGACGACTCATCGAGTGAGTCAGTGAGCCCGACTAATGTCGCTGAAGTGACCTAGAAGTGCAATTTTTGTCAAACTTTGGGAAGGTATAAAAGGTTTTGAAGAAAAAGAAAATGTATCTTCCATTGCTCAAAACTCACAGTACTTAGAACATTCTTGGGACTTTGGGTTTTTGACTTTTTTACCCTTAGAATTTTGATGGTTTTGAATTGGGTGTCTTTGAATTGAAGCTTGAATCATCTTTCATTGAATGGACTACAACTTCTTTGGTATAATTCAATTAAGTTCTAGCATATGTAGTTAAACCCCCTCATTCTAAAGGTGTGCAATGTAGTTGAGTATTAGATTGTTTGTGGGTTTTTTGACTGCTCAAAACTATGTTAATTTACAATGGATTTCATTATCTTAACATGTTTTAATGTATGATTAGGGGTTGCAAACTCAAATCTATTTATGTTAATTTACAATGGGTTTAATTATCTTAACATATTTTAATGTATGATTAGGGGTTGCAAACTCAAATCTATTTTATATGTCTATGCTTTCTTGTGAAAGATGCTTAAAGTAGATGAGTTAATTGCTAATTGTTGATTGATTTCAATTGCTAGTTTTTCTTGAAAGAGGAAACTATATTAAGGTATTAGATCGATTTTGTGTATTACGCATGTTGAGATTTGAGAGAACTCTCATGAAAGATGATTTTTTTATTGAAAAATGCTTCTTGTATTACTCGTCGATTTAGCCTACCCATTAAGAATTAACTATGTTGAACAACATAATTACACATATTTGGAATTGATACTCAATTACACACACTCCTGGAATTCATCTCTTACTTAATAAATTCCCTTGTCCTTTGCTTTTGTTAACAATTCGTTGACCAATCTCTCTATTGACAATTTAAAACTTCTCGAATTTGAATTTATGTTAACGTTGATTCTACAACCTTACAAGAGATTAGTACATAATTGTTATTTCATAATTGAAGTCTAGCCTATACTACTCCCTGTACATTCGACCCGAACCTCTTGTTGGGTTTTTTATTGCTAACGATCGTGTGTACGTTGAATAATAAGGCATACACTTGAGCATTATCAAAATGGCGCCGTTGCCGGGGAATGGTGCATAGATTTCTTTAATTGATGTGACTTTGTGAACTAATTTCTTGTAGTTGAATACTCTTACCATTGTTTGGTTGGTTGTTATCTTGATAGGTGATGACACGAGTGTCAATGGCAGTGATGCTTCTAGCAACCATGGTCGAATGGGTGATAGTGGTGATTTGGAAGATCTCGGTAGCGCTAGTGCTATCTGATACCCCTAACCTTGGGAAATGCAATATTTCATGTTACAAGTACAATGCTCCAATTGCTTCTAATGAAGGGGTTGTGTGGAGAGTTAGCTCATGAAGACCCTCATGATCATCTTCAGAATATTGTGGAAGTATTTGGCCGTTCACTTTCAATAACATCACCCAAAAATCTATCCGATTGAGGTTATTCCCATTCTCCTTGATGGGTGATGCTACGAAGTGGTTGGCGGAGTTACCAAGGGACTCAATTTCTTCATGGGAGGAGTTAAGCGAGGCATTTCTTGAGAGGTTCTTTCCTCCATCTAAAATGTTAAAGCTCCAAGATGGAATTCAAAACTTCCAATGTGATGATGGAGAGCCAATTTACGAAACATGGTTGAGGTTTCAAAGAAGCTCTTGCAATGTCCTACTCATGGGTTGTCAGATAAAGTCCTTTTGCATATGAGATGACAAAGATAAACTGCGCTTGGCACACAACTATTTTTTGGTGGAATCACGAGACAACTATTTCTAGTGGCTTCTACTTTGCTTAATGAGATGACAAAGATAAACTGTGCTTGGCACACAAGGGAAAATCAAGTATCACCTCATGCTATGGGTATGACTAAATAACAATTGGAGAAGAACCAAGAGTGAGATGAGAACATGACAAAGATGATGACTCGGCACGATGTCT